ATTTTACACACTACAGTCTTCATATTCTGGATAAAATGAGCAAGAAGTTCTCAAATTTTTTATTTATGTTGACAGAGATATCTGCAATCTACTACAGTTAGAGTAGAGGAAATGAGAGTGAGGAGACAAGATGCAGAGCAATGGATGTCTCATCGTCTGCTTCCAGAGGACCTGAGAGAACGTATAAGGAGGTATGAACAGTACAAATGGCAAGAAACCAGAGGTGTAGAAGAAGAGACTCTACTTCGTAACCTTCCTAAAGATATCAGGAGGGATGTCAAGCGCCACCTTTGCCTATCTTTGCTCATGAGGGTCAGTGATTCTCTGTATCTACTTCCTCTGTTTTTTATATTACACACACATGACCATTTTTATATGGATATATAAAACTATAGTTATTTAATATATAAAACTAAATCATAATCTTCATATTTAATTCATAACTGAATCAAACTCTATTAGCAATAAATATTTCATTTGCAAAGTACTAATTTCATTCATATATTTATCTTGTTTTTACTATATTTTCTTGCACATTTGAACTAAACCTTATCTAAAAGAAATATAAATTCTTCTCCAGGTGCCGCTGTTCAAAAAAATGGACGAGCAACTTTTAGATGCAATGTGTGATCGTCTGAAGCCAGTTCTTTACACGGAGAGCAGTCACATAGTCCGAGAAGGGGATCCAGTTGAGGAGATGCTATTTATCATGCGAGGCAGTCTAGTGAGTACAACTACTAATGGTGGAAGAACTGGCTTCTTCAATTCTGTTTATCTGAAAGCAGGTGATTTCTGTGGAGAGGCACTTCTTACATGGGCATTGGATCCCCAAGGCCCCTCCAACCTCCCTATCTCAACTAGAACAGTACAAGCTTTATCAGAGGTCGAAGCATTTGCTCTCATGGCTGATGACTTGAAGTTTGTTGCCAAACAGTTCCGCCGTATGCATAGCAAGCAACTCCAGCACACTTTCAGGCAAGACTTGTATAGACTTTTATCATTGTACATTACAAGCATTTATGTATATAGTCCTTGTTAAGATTTTCTTGGTGTTTCTTTCAGGTTCTACTCGGTGCAGTGGAGGACGTGGGCTGCATGCTTCATACAATCAGCATGGCAAAGGCACTGTAAGAGGAAGATGGCTAAATCCTTGCGTGAAGCAGAAGAAAGGCTACAAGATGCTTTGGCAAACGACACTGCAAACACACCAAGCCTTGGTGCCACCATCTATGCATCGAGGTTCGCAACAAATGCACTACGAATGTTACGGAAAAATGGTAGTTGTAACACTAGAATAGCTCAAAGACTACCCCCTTTGCTGCCTCAGAAGCCAACTGAGCCAGATTTTACTGCTGATGATAGCTAGCCCATGTTCTAGTCCATTTTATTGTTGGTAAATAAGTTTAACTAGCAGAACAAGGATGTATATAGTAGTGACCTATACATCACAGTTCCAACTTTATCCATTTGGGTATTTTGTAATTCCATTTTTAATTTTTTATACATTTCTAATAAAATAACAAAATTGCTCATAATTTTATTGGCTTCCAGAATAACATTAAAAACCCTCAATCCATGAAAGGTAACAAAAATGTACTTGCCTTGATTCTCATTAATTCATATCTCGCAGCAATATGCCAGCATTATCTAGTAAACAATTTGAAGGTCTGGATCTAATTGTTTGGCACAAGAATAAATTGAGGACAACGTTTGTGCAAAACAACCATACTGAGTTATGATTCTTGTAACGTAAGATTATCGAGAACTTCTCAAGAAGCTTCCGTTACGTTTTACCTAATAAGAGGCATCAATGTGAACAAACATGGGGTCCCTCTTCAACCAAACAGTACCCGAGAATAAAACAGGTGAAACATATCTGCTGCAAAAGAGAAAAGCAGAAAAAGTTAAATCATTTAGCTCTATTCCCGATCGCATTTAGCTCTACTAAAAGAAAAACATTTTTTAAAAAATCAATGTGTTCGACTCGGTTATTTATTAACATTGAGTCAACTAATACTGGAGTGAGTTACAAGAAATTCATTGAGTGACAACAATGGCTAAATAGTTTTGCATAGTAGAGGGAAGGTCCAAAACAAGCTACACCAGATTTGCATGACATCCGAATTAACATCACAAACATTGCAGTTCCATCTGCAAACAACACTGGGCCTCCATGATCTGTCTGCTAACTAGTTCATTTGTCAATACAATGGACACTCATCTGTAAACTGTTTGACACTACTGATGAAACAATTAATCTAAACAAGTAAGCATTAAAAGGATACTTAGAATCACCAATATTAAATAGTTTACGTTAAGCGTGCAACCTACCTGGCTGCTATACTCTTGTATATGCGAGCAAATAGGAATGACAGCCAAACATGTTTCATTTTTTGTTTTTCTTTCTGCCTTTAACTTGTTTTTCTAGGCTTCTCAGTCTTTGATTGATAATAGAAGATGATGATATCCTTCTGTGACTTAGATTTGATGGTTCAGATGGCACAGGAGGTTCAGCTTTAACAGCAGTCTCTTGTTTCAGTGCTGAAAACAGAGAGAACTTATGTTGTGATGCATCAGAAGGTGGAACAGGAATCTCGGGAAGAGCCAGTAACTTCTTCACATCTGGCTGTCTAATTGCTGTAACAAAAATAATTGAAAGAAATAACTAAAGGCTTTCATCCAAACTACCAGAACTAGCTACTTCATTGCAGGCAAACTATTCTTCAGAAAAGTTTTTTCTAAATTATCTGGAGAATTCATTTAATATGACTTAATTACACAGGTTGCAGTCAGAGTTTTTACATACATGATATCGTCAAGAGCTCATATTACTCACTAAGAATAACACATTCAACATGCTTAAAATGGAACAGGGCACCCATTATTTTTCATGGAAACACCACATAGTTTCCCATTCAGAGAAATTTCCCTGTTAGCATATCTAGAAATTTTAACCAAAGAGAAAAAAAGACACCTAAGTTTTATTCTAAATGAAAGATTGAATGGAAAAATTTATATGACGTGCACCAAAACTAAGCTGAAGTTAAAAATCCATCAAATGGTATACCAATAGTGTTGATGAATTCCAAAATAGAACTTACCTAATCCATAGGTAAGAGAAAATAGATTGGAGGTGAGCCAATAACAGAATAATGCCTGCAAAAATAAGGTTCCTAGTTTCCAGTCATTGAAAATTTACAGTATCTAAAAAAAGACATCTGAAGGCATCAAATATAGGTCTTCAATTGAGAAAATAAAAAACTATCAGAAGAAAACTTTGAAATGAATATGAGAAATGAAGAAACATGCAATAGATCAGAAGAACTGTTATATCTATCCTTATTATAAATACTAATGCAACAGAGAGAATCTCAGCAAATCCCACGCTCCAACACAATAATGAAAACCTTATACACCTTGGGAAAAGTTATCATAACTGGAACTGCAACAACAGCAAGGATTCTTGAAAAGTATTTCATTGTACCAGCAACTGGATTCCCTTCCAGACCCTCCTGCATATTGCACTAGATACATGGTGGTTATCAGTACCAAATATTAAATGAGAAAGAAACATGAAAAACCCTCTGATAAATGAAACTGTTAGTTTCAAAT